GCGTCTGCGTGGTGATCAAATTCACAACTTCTGTGATCATTCATACACGTTTATCATCGATATGCCAGTGGCAAGTTTCACTCCCAATCAAGCCCTAAGTCCCATACTCAACTCATCGGAAAACCCAACCCCAGACACGTAAAGTCCGAAATGCCCCATCCCCGCAGGACTGGGCCACCGCGCGGCAGCGCGTCGAGCGGCTGCAGATGCTGGCGGGGTTCATCATTTCCCTTTTCTATGTCCTGTACTGCAGTGCTTCTATTGTACGGGTCTCTAGCAGCGTTCTGTATCTACATTGCTTGGGTTTAGCGCTCAGGCTTTGGGGCTTCGGGGGTTTTCGCGGATTATGGGCGACGACAGGCTCCTCTTGTCACCTGTTCGAATCCGGGCTTGAGACTTGATTAGGGTTTTGGCTCAAGGTCTGATTGTAACGCCATGACGTCCCAGAGGCTGATCAAACATCCAAGACTGCACACATCCTAGTCCTGTTTCACCCAAGACCGCTTGGCCATGTGTTCTTTTTACGATGTTACAGCTGTCTTTAGATGAAAGTACAGCCAGCTCATGCAGACAAACATGTGCGCGACTGCGAGTACTGAGTTCTCCTTCCCCTGCTGCTGCTCCTCCTACTACCACCACAACTACAACAACAACTTCAACTACAACAACAACTACTACTACTACTACTCCTACTCCTACTGCTACTGCTACTGCTACTGCTACTACTACTACTACTACTACTACTACTACTACTCCTACTGCTACTGCTACTCCTACTACTACTACTACTACTACTACTACTACTACTACTACTACTACTACTACTATCACTACTCCTACTCCTACTCCTACGCCTACTCCTACTCCTACTCCTACTCCTACTACTACTACTACTACTACTACTACTACGACTCCTGCTGCTGATGGTGCTGCTGGTGCTACTACTGCTACTACTACTACTACTACTACTACTACTACTACTGCACTGCTACTGCTACTGCTATCACTGCCGCTGCCGCTGCCGCTACAACTACCGCTACTGCTACTGCTGCTGCCACTACCACTACTACCACCACCACCACCACCACTACTACTACTACTACTACTACTACTACTACTACTACTTCTACTTCTACTTCTACGACTCCTACTCCTACTGCTACTACTACTACTACTACTACTACTACTCCTGCTACTGCTGCTGCCACTACTACTACTACTACTACCACTACCACTACTACTACTACTACTACTACTACTACTACTACTACTACTACTACTACTACTACTACTACTACTACCACTACTACCACTACTACTACTACTACGACTACTACTGCTACTACGACGCTACTTCACTGATGTTACGTCTGATACTATACGTTTCGGATTCCTCGAATCTTGCCAGACGCGGCTGCAAGAGCGGATGGATGACTGGCGGCCGAAGTGAGTGCCGTGGATTCAGTCATAGGAGCAAGGATTGGGGCTTGCAAGGCCCAGGGTGTAGCGCTCGCGGCTTTCAGTTTGGGGTGTATGCGTAAGGTAAAGTTCAGGGCTTAAGGTCTTAGGTTTGAGGCTGAGGTGCTAGGATAGTTTCTCGCAGAGTGGTGGTAGATTTAGGGTGGGCTTGCAAGACTTGTTGGTGTCCCGAAGTCTCAACATCAGACCCAAAACTTCAAAACGAGCCACGCAAGCCTTAAAGCACGGCCACAGGCTTCACTGAGCTGTTCAAATTGGTGCACTCAGCCCGAAGCCCAACCTCATTGCGATGCCCTTAGCCCCGAAACCCTCAATCTTAAACCAAGCCCTACACCCTAAACCCGAAGCCTTAAGCCATCCTGAGCCCTAAACCCTCAACATTCAATCCTAAGCCCCAAACCCACGACCCTAAACAAAAAATGAAACCTTCATCCTCAAACGCCAATCCACCAACCCTTAGCCCCAAATCCGCAAAAGGTGCATGCAGAGTCGCCTCCAGACCCTCGAAAGCCTCGGCCTGGCGAAGAAAACGCGCGCACAGTTCATAAAAGGATTTAGGATTTAGGGATCTCTATCAAAATGGTTCTATGAGATTTCAGAGGGGCGAGTACAGTTTTGGTCTGTCTTTCACGGATGATCCTGGGTCTATGAAGGTTACTATAGGTGTTGGGCTTTCGCATGCTTTCTCTCCTTACCCCAAAACGGGACAATAATGTTGACAACCACCCATATGTAGATGCATGGGTAGACAGACGGATGGATAGATAGTGACACTGATGTATCGCCACGATGTACATCGGACTCCTTCAAGCACGAGTTCTGTGCAGCCTTTGTCCGATCTGCTTCCCAGGCCCTTTGGGCCTTCCTCAAGCCGTGGTCAGGTAGGGCTTAGGATTTGGAGCTTGGGCCACGACACTACATTACCAGTCTTGTCGGCAAGAAGAAGCCACATTGAATCACAACAGCTGCCTGAACACAGTCTGAGCACGAGGATGCTTGCCGGGACTGCCCAGCGCTCGGAGTAGTATTCGTGCGGTGGCGGTGTCAGCAGCCGTAGCGTCCTGCAGAGGAAGCTCTGTGCTAAAGCACGTTTCAATCCACATTCCAGCTGTGATGGGCTGCCAGCCTGCGAAGTGCGCAGGGTTCGGGGTAGATACCTCACACATGTCTTCGCACATATAATACAAGTAAGAATGAGTACATATATACACACACACACACATGCAGTACATACATACATACATACATACGCATAACTGTATAAATACCTGACGTGACGTGACCGAATCAATTGACCTGCATAAATTAGTCTATATTGAATAAGGACAAACAAATATGAACGAACATACATCTTTTCCAGGCATGCCCCTACTCGTACGTCATTTGTGCGCGAGTGTCTGCGTGTCAGTGTCGGCATTGGTCCCCGGGTCTGTGTCTGAGTGTGGATGTGTGTTTGTTTGGTTGGTCTGTGTGCCTTGTCCATATACTTAGCTGAATGGTCTCAAAGCCTAGCGTAGGAACTTCATTAAGAAACCCTGGCTCTATAACCCAATCTTTTAGGACTCGTCTAAGGAACCCTGATAAAGATGGATCCAGGGTTGCATAATCAGATTCCTATATTAAGCTTTTCCGCAGCCTTGCTCGGCAACAGCTAAGCCCACCACATATCACAAAAGCCTGCATCAATCCCTGAGTTCTTGTTTGTTGTATTTCTCCAGACGGTTGCAAACTGACTAACCTGTTTGCTTTCAAACGGGTTCTGCACAACCCGACACTGCAGGTTGTCCCAACCCAAGCAGCAAGATTCGTCCGGAGTCTATAGGTGTGGCTGTGTTAGGATCACTGCCATATATGAAGCCCCATAAACCCTGGCCCTAAACCTGAAACCTTAATTGGCTGGTGCTCTGATTTGCGTCCAGTCTGGTGGTCTGCAGAAATCTCCAGATTTCCTTGCTCCGTGTCGTCCCGAAGCCCAGCTTGGCTCTCAATCCTCCTCCGTGCTGTCCCGGATTCAGAGGTACCGCTCATCACACGAAGGTCATGTGGATTTCGAGCTTGAACCTCTGTCCCCGCGGGAGGCGTGTCTCGTCATCATTTAAGAATTTGCCAGGACCCTAGCACCAACACAACAAATTAACTGTGGTTCTGTCTCTCTTTCTTTTGCCCTAAAGCCTAAACCTCAAAGCCTAAACCCTGAACCCGTAAACCCTACTTTGCGAAGGTGCTTTGGGATTGGGAGTTCGATCGGGGCTCTGGGCTTGAAGGATTCGAGAAACTTGCTTTGCCGCACACAGCCCACAAGAAGAGAACGTCTACTTAAAGGATCATGGGACTTAGTAACTAGGATTATAATTAGGGTAACTAGAGGTATAACCCCAATTAAGGTACTTATAACCTTAAGGTACTTATAACCTTACTTACTAAGTCCCATGATCCTCCAAGTAGCAACAAGGTTGGGCCTTGGAGCTCAGGGTTTTGGGGTTTAGGGGTTTAGGGGTTTAGGGTTTAGGGGTTTAGGGTTTAGGGGTTAGGGGTTTAGGGGTTTAGGGTTTAGGGTTTAGGGGTTTAGGGTTTAGGGGTTTAGGGTTTAGGGTTTAGGTTTTTAGGGTTTAGGGGTTTAGGGTATGAGCGTTAGCACAGGCCTTTTGATTCCTTGAGCCATGCATATGCCGAACATCCCTCTCAATGAGGATCGACAATCCTGTCTGCATGCTGTTCACATGGAGACGACATCTCCACTTCAGTTTTCAAAGTTCGAATGAGTCAGCAGCTACTATCACCAAGATGTTTTGTTGAGAACCTGTACAAGTACTACTTTCTCCGCACTCCCCCTGCTCCCGTGGAGCATAGAGATAGACACTTTACAAGAGGATCCAGCAGTTACGTAAGTAACCCCACAAAACCAACCGAAACACAATCAACCCAAGCCTGCCAGCGCGCCTGCCAACCGGTCATTGCGGAGGCTTGGCTCCACGCCACAACAGCTATGAAGGGAATCTGCACTTAAACGGGCGGGCCTAAACCACTACCGAGATCCTAGACCCCCAAACCCGAAAACTCTGGATTAGTCGCTTTCCAAAAGCGGTGACCAGCAAAAAAAACAGTAGGGATGAGCTTTCGTCCGGCACGAACGCACTCCCACCATGTTTCCCGATTCGCCTTCCACAAAGGCAAATGTTGGGGCTAAACCTTAACCCCGGCCATCCAAAGTCAGCAAATGCTGACATCATTTGGGGCTGACGTAAGAAACTGTGGTCATGCCTTCAATATAGGCCTGCGTAGCCCAAATCTGACTACATACTTATAGGGGCTTTGCATGGGTTGAATCCTGTAATGTGGAAACATAACTTCCGGCTCATCTAGTGCAGCCACACGGCAGAATGTCCCATATTAGCAATCCGAATTTCCAACCATAGTCCGATAATCGGGGATGTTCGAGGATGTTAGGGTGCAGAACGAGGAATGAATTTAGCGTTGGAGTGTTAACAGACGAGGAAGCGATCACACCAATCTTTTTCCGATCATCGCTTCGGGGCGGCACCGAGCCGTAGGAGGTAACGACTGAGCAATCGGAATTCCATCAGCGATCCTGAGAAGTCTTCAAAGAAGAATAATCTCCCCAAGAATTGCCAATTTGGGCTCTGTGCTAAGGAATCAAACAATGCTGAAATGCGAACTGAGCAACCCTGTGTGCCGTTGCACAGTTTTTTCCATCGCCCGATATTGTCCTCATCTTCAAAGCAGTGATACCCCCTCGGGTTTTCACCCCGATAAAGGGATTCCTCGAGCAAGTGAGTGTAGACCTGCCAAATTTCCAAAACGATCGGGGCTTCCAAAGAAAATGGATTCCCAAATCTGATGACGTCATTATGCACTATGCAGCCAAACGACATGAAATTTTGGCAAAAGTTTCCATCGCATTACCGAAGCTGTCACAGCAAACTGAGCCAGTGCTCGGGCCAATCGTTGAAAAGAGTAACCTGTATTTGCAATCAGCTGCCCCTGCTCTTGGCTGACGAATCGCTTTGGCGACGTTTCAATGAGGTGGAACCATCTCAAGAGGCAATCCGTGCTCAAACTTGCAAGTTTGATCTCTCTGTCGCCAGGCTTTCTCGAAAGCATGTCCCTCAAGCATCCCCCAAGGTAAATCAGAAATATCTTTGCAGAATGTGCTTTGAGAGTCAAACACGGCCAGGGACCACACTCTCCATAAAGCATTCCAGCCGTCAGAAAAGGCACTGAGTGCCTGAAGAGTATGCTCGCAGCTGCTTAGTAATTATCATCATATTACGGAATCCCACAGAGTTGTTGATAAATATAGAAACTACAATTTCAAGAATTCCCAAGAATCTCCACACGTTGGGCCGACGCCCAAGCTCGAAAAGCACCAGAAGCCGCCAGGAGACCACTTGAAAGATCTGTGTGATCGCCCCAGTAGCCTCATGATGGTTCCATCCCAAATAAACAAGGTGAAGTGGACACTGATCCAATTAACGAAAATTCTTAGAACCGATCACGAACTTAGATATTGTTCCAAGAAAAGCAACAGTGTTGTAGAAGCATCGCCACTATGCTGCCGCTGTGAACTGACACCACCCCCAGGTGGACCACATGCATCGCGCAGAACTTAAACTGCAATGCTGGATTGAAACCTATCAGGCAGCACAGAGGACTGACCTCGTCTGGCATGATTGCCGCCACGATGTTTGCAGATGACCTTCTCTCAAAACGCCGGGTAAGGTCTGCACTCCACCTGAAAGGATTCGACTCTCGATGAATGTAGCTTTATTATTTCAACCACGAAAAATCAAAAGAATCGGGAGTAGCTCCGTCATTTCGCAAATCCGAGGTGCGATAAAGGGCCGGAGTTCGTAGCGAAGCAACAGTGACACATTTCGTGAACCCGCCAATGCCAGAAGGCCTTGAGTTGGAATACTTCTTTGAGCCATTTCCAATCGCCCCTAAACTCCATCACCAAAGCCTTGGGACCTGCACCAGACAAGACAGGATGTATATGCGGTCAGACAGACAGACAGCCAGACAGCCAGACTGACTACCCCTATAAGGTTTGAGTAGGGTTCAGGGTAGGTTGTAGTGATTCCAGTTATTGCTTTTTTATCGGTTTTGGCAGCGCTCGACTTCTAAGTCTTCTGCCCAGCCTCGGCTTACTAGTTTCTGCTTGATCCGTACATGTATATGTACATGTGTTTCATACATACACACACACACACTCACAGCTACGACTTCGAGGAAGGCAGCTACACTTCAGAATTTACGTACATGCATAGGTAGTTACAACGAGGTGATGTAACGAAGCTATGATGTGATATGTGCCATGCCTCTGCTGGCAACCGACCCTGGAGCGGCCTCTGATGGGTGAGCCTGGCTTGCAAGCCACTTTCCCCAGAATAGCACCATCCACGTTGTGCGTCGGGTTGATTCCATAATATAGAATCTGGAGCGGGTGATGTTGTATGGGGCTTGATCATGAGATTATCGACTACAAGTTGCAATCCATTTAGTATTGCAATTAAAGCTTTTGGGCGAGGGGCATTCAAAGACCATGCAATCACCCTCATAATAGGGTCGAGGCTTGCAGCCCCCAAAGATATGTGTTCTCGCAATGAAAAGATCGCCCAGCGCTTCATCTGCCCTCCTTGGGGTTGTTTCGGGGGTTTAAAATTTAATTAGGGTCTAGATCTGGTCATGAGGGCTTTAATAATCGTTTGAAGGGCTTATTGGGTTTACTTTCTGCAAGTTCTGGATTGATGGATCGCATAGGAACCTGCATGACATCATCATAGCCACGGTGCGACGGGGAACAGACAATAGGGAGTTCATGGTCACCAGAATAATTTTGTCACCACTACGACTGTAGCGACCGTCGTCGCCATGCAAACCGATGGGAAGGCAATGATCATCAGTGTTCGAAACCAGACCACGGGCCCTGTAGTGCTCCCAGTACTCGGCCCGCTCCGCAAGCGGGACTTGCAGAAGCCCGATATCCTAATCAACGCCACAAAACACACGGTGGATGCAATAGGCTGCAACTCATATGCCGACTTAACACTGCATCGAAACCAGCTCTTGCTGAGGAGTGTCATGCCAGTATTGGTAGATTTCATGCGGCATGAGAAACGGGCACTGAAAGGTGGTGATCGTCTTGCGGTCTCGCCAGTCTTTGACGGGGATGCTCAGATAGTGCATGTCCTCAAGATCATGAGGCTTTGGATGTTCATGATGCACAAAGCAACATATTGAAACACAGGCACCTAATTATCGACTATCGATACATGCGGACAGAGTACCAGTGGGAAATTCAGGGCTCGAGAAATGTCTCGCGCCACATTGCCGGGCCACTTTCCGTGCGACCCCGCTGCGGCAATACGTTTCGTTAATCCAGAACCACGTCCGCCGCTCTCGCGAAGCATAGCTGATGCAGCTTGCTGCAAGTCAGCTGCCGAATTGGCCTGGGATGTACAACATATTGTTAATGAGCTTCATTCCATCGATCGCAACATTCGTGACAGGAGAGGCTTAGCGATTCAAGGGATGTTAGGGTTTGGGGGTGTATATATATATATACATAGTGAGTGTTCAAGTTTGAGTTCTTTGATGAGGAATCGTGACCCCACCAATCCGAAGCCTCTTTCAATTCTAGATGCAATGCAATTGCAAGGTGTCCCGATGACGGTAGCTGCTGCCTCGACCAAATATAGAGGCATCTGTGGGCCAGGGTTTTGCGGTTCGAAGTTAATTGTCAATATAGTATTTAGACGAAATCCTGAAATCATATGTAGTTATCGTGATCAGATGTACAATACTTGCAACCTTCACACACATGAACCCCAGCACCCAAAAACCTTGATGGCATTCCCACATTCCCAAATCTCAAATTCCCCGGAGTGAGTACCCCCAAACTCCATAATTATCACACTTAGTGGGATATATGGGCCACCATGTAGAGTTGATACTGAGCTTTCGATAAGGTTGCTTCACTTCTAGCGAGTATGTTCAGGGATACAGGAACCTGTATTAAAACCTCGGAGGATACTGCGAAATTGCTCAGACAGCCCACAAGTTAATTAGTATGAAGCCAAGAAGCACCCTCACCCAGGGTTTGGAGCAAGTAGTCTGCAAAGCAGCGCTCTTCATCTGCGAGGGGCAGACAAATATAGACTATGGTTAGCTTAAATTTAAATTGGATAAATATATGATGCAAGCGGGCACAGTCTTTCCGATCCGGGCTGGGACATCACAGAACTCCGGACACACTTCGTTCTTAAAGGACACATGTTCGCACGTGTCATTGTTGAAGCCAGGCCGCCCCAGACAGCACTAGTGTAGCTAGACTCAGCTTTAATCTTACAGGAGAGAACACATGGAGGAATCCTCGGCAGTCCAAGGGCCTATGCCCAGTAATCAACATCCCTACAGATACTCTAGCAGAGTACGCAATCATTTGCCTTTCAGGCAGTAGCAGCAGCCTTTGCCTTTGCCTTTCCTTTCGTTTTTTCTTTCGGCTCCTTCTTGTTGATGTGCATCCTCACGTGCCTTGAACCCGACTTGTAATTGGAGTTGCTTTCTGTAAGACTCAGGACATACTCCTCCAGCCCGATGCCCTCCGTCCCAGATGCCATCTGATCCTAGCGAGGATGAACAAGAACACCTATAATGTTTCACTGGTTCTTACAGGAGATAGTGTGAAGTCCTGCAACTTCCCCAGGTGGCGAGTGATGATCAGCTGGTGCTTCTCCATCGATGCCACGAGCGCCGCGGTCAGATCATCGTCCCTCATGGCCAGCATTATGGACCCCGATTTCAGAGAATGTAACCTATATTATCCTTCAAAGCTTTACACCATGAATACATAGCAGTGCCAACGAATTTAGGGATCGTACTATATTTAATTTGGATTCCGAGGGCATCATTCAAAATACAAATGCATGGTTCCATGCAACATCTACATACCTGCCTATAATTGTGCATAGTGTACATACATGTACGGTATGATATGTGCATCAGGCGTTGTTAACTCATACTTCTACATTGTTCAGGTCGAGACGAGCATTTCTCTTTCCATCTGTGTTAAAACATTTGAGCTCCTTTTCGTAGGAATGTTGAGGGTTTGGGGTCGAAGGTTATTGGATTCTGGCTTCGAAGATTTTCGGGGTTTAGGGGTTTAGGGTTTAGGGTTATGTAAGGGGTTTAGGGTTTAGAGGTTAGAGATTTAGGGGTTAGAGATTTAGGGGTTAGAGATTTAGGGGTTTAGGGATTTAAGGTTTTTGGTGGTTCCAACACCCACATGTGCAGCATGTAACTGATTATGCAAAACCAGGTTCACTATAATTAACTAACGATATCCATGCCACTGGGTTCATCGGTTTAGCTTATTAATTCCCTGCTATGGCAGATCGGGGTTGGGGGTCGAGGCAAATATATAGAATCGTGCTTGCAGGAGCCGGGCCCGTATTGGAACTTATAATAAATTCTAGCAACAAATTAAAAGACCTGGGTTAGCCATGCAGCTAGCCATATGCCTGCATTGAATTATGGGAAAGCCGGTCTGAATTGAGTTCCCAATCGAGAAGCAAACAAGAAGACTTCCCTGCAACTCTTATTGCAACAACTTCTATTCTAAACTAAGGAGGAAGCTGCCCATTTCGTCCGAGCAACTCGCTGGCTTATCAGATCGATCTAGCAGGTATAACATATATACGTAGCTAGGGTTCGGGGTTTAAGGATTAATATATATATATATATATATATATATATATACGTATTCATATACATATGTAGCTTATACTTGGAGGCCCTTTTGACTTAGTAAGTATAGGGTTAGTAAGGTAAGTTATGGGGATTATAATAGGGTTTCTAGGGGATACTAAGTAGACTTACTAAGTCAAAAGGGCCTCCAAGTATGGAGTGTAGGCTTTGTTGTCGGGGGCTGAACTCGCGATTGGATATGCAATATTTAGCAGCACAGCCAGGAACCCTAAATAAATGCTGCCTGGGCTCACTCCGGCCTTTGCCAATTTGGATGGGAAGCTTTTTATCTCGAAAAGGTTCTGGTTGGCCAAAGCACAGGCCGATTTAGCAAGTTGATCCGTGCTCTTGCTCTTGACTTCGTGCTCATCCTGACCCTTCTTTTTCCCTTTTCCCTTGTTCTTCCCCTTTCCATTGGGGTTGGGGTTCTCATTGCTGCTGCGGGCACCATTACCATCCGGCACATCTGACCAAGAAGCAGTTTCACCCTCTCTTTCATAAGAGAGACTCGTCTCACGGGTGGACTTCTGCGTCTCAGTAAACTCCTTCCATCGGCGATAGAGCCTCATAGCCTGGTCATGGAGGGTAATTAGTGGGCTCTGAAAAGACTCAACGAATATAGGAATAGTTAAAAGTGCTAGCCTCATTCCGAGGGAAATCCGGATGCTTGCGGATGTTGGTGTCTGGGTCCAACTCCTGCCGGCGTTTTTTGCAGTAGCTTCAGACGAGAACCGCGCTAGCTATGGACATCGAATCATCTAGCTATGCCGCCAGATTTAGATTTCCAGTGATTTGAGCTTGGGTTCAGGGATTTCAATGGCATATCATGGATCCAGATTTGAGGACAATATGACACCCCCTTATCTAACCCAGCATATTATAAGGTCCTTCTCGGCAATGAACTCCTTGACCAGCTCTTCGTTTTTCCAGAGGTCCATGAGGCCCTGCATTATTTCTATACTTGGTCATCACCAGTAAGAACACTACCACACTCTTTTATTACTATACTAGCTATATATAGGCGTATGTAAACATATATATATATATATGTATATATGTAACTACTACTATCACTACTACGACGACTACTACTACTACTACGACGACGACTACTACTACACCAACAACAACAACCACTACTACGACGACGATTGCTACTACTACGATTAAGTAATTTTGTGCAAGTAGTACTAGTTGTAGTAGAAGTAGTAGTTGTAGTAGTAGTAGTAGTAGTAGTAGTAGTAGTAGTAGTAGTAGTAGTAGTAGTAGTAGTAGTAGTAGTAGTAGTAGTAGTAGTAGTAGTAGTAGTAGTAGTAGTAGTAGTAGTAGTAGTAGTAGTAGTACTAGTACTAGTACTAGTGCTAGTACTAGTACTAGTACTAGTAGTAGTAGTAGAAGTAGAAGTAGAAGTAGAAGTAGAAGTAGTGCTACTACTACTACTACTACTACGACTACCAACACGACACCTACCACCACCACGACTACTACTACTACTGCTACTACTACTACTGCTACTACTACTACTACTACTCCTGACTAAAATGATACTGCTACTACTACTACTACTACTACTACTACTACTACTACTACTAGTACCTACTACTACTACTACTACTACTACTACTACTACTACTACTACTGCTACTGCTACTCATACCTAAAATGGCACTGCGACTACTATTAGTACTACCTACTACTACGACTACTATTATAATGCTATACTAGTACTACTGTACTACTATTACTTCTACTACTACTACTGCTACTACTACTACAACAACAACAACTACTACTACTACTACTACTACTACTACTACGGCGCTACTACTTCTGCTACTACGAGAACTACAGCTACAACTACAGGAATTACAACAACAACAACTACTACTACTACTACCACTACTACAGCTATATTGTTATAATATACATACAGTATTATAATGCATATTACACACACACACATACAAGGTTATATTACATGCAAGGCTCCTGGCGGGTGTCCCAAACCCATTGGCCAGTCTCCTCATTGGAGCTCGTGAACTTCTCGATCGCGATCACCCGGCTGGATCCCCAATCTTCCCCAGACATAATGAACTCTTTGAAGAGCTCGTTGATACGCTTTGTATCTCAGCGAATATATATGTAATTTGGGATTCTAATTAGAGCACATCTACAACCATACAATTTTTCTCGGATTATATACACACACACATCAATGACGCAGCCGAGGATCCCTTCGGGCCTTTGCCGGCGTGTGCTTTCTTCCACTCCGAAAGCAGCTTGGGCGGGCAAGCAGGACCTAGGCTTGTACTGCTGGAATTGCAATGAATTAAATAGCATAGCTACGGTTTCTATAGGGGCCTGAAAGAATAACGATTCCGACTACAACGTCTAGTGTGGACACCAAGCTGCTCTGAAAAGTTCGGTTGAACCGCATGTAGTTGGGCTTGTAGAAGTCATCCTGTTGGTCGAATGCTTTTGAAGCTAACTATCCATGTCTGCGACGAGAACCGATTGAGAGAACCCCATACCACAATATCTGAAACATTCCTGGCCTTGAGCTGCTTCTCGATCTCATCCAGCCTGGCCTCATACCCTGCTTTGTCGGTGGCGCTGACAGAGCTTGCATCGGAAGCTGGTACCGGGGCAACGGTCGTTGTAGCTGCTACCGGGTCTGCGGTGGTTGCAATCATTTCTTGATCAGGCTTCTCTTGAGGATGGGGCATGGCAAGCTTCTCAGGGGGGCTTGCTCTGGGCATCTTGTTTTTGAGGGCCTGCTCCAAAGCATTGATTGCAGAGATACCCCCTGTCTGCTCTGGCACTTCGGACCCCCCCTTGGCAATCTCAATCGCTGCCGCTAGCAACTCCATGTCCACAGTTCCAGGTCTCAGAAGGGCTTGATGTACTGAGCTAGGAACCTTCGGGCTAGGGTCAGCCAGATCGACACTGCGCATCTCCACATCGGCATCGGCACTGGGCGGCGGGACACTCGCTTGGATCTTTTCTAGGCCACTCGCATCGGCACTGGGCGGCGGGACACTCGCTTGGATCTTTTCTGGGCCACTCGCATCGGCACTGGGCGGTGGGACACTCGCTTGGATCTTTTCCGGGCCACTCGCATCGGCACTGGGCGGCGGGACACTCGCTTGGATCTTTTCCAGGCCACTCGGATCGGCACCGGGCGGCAGGACACTCCCTTGGATCTTTTCCGGGCCACTCGGATCGCTGGGCGGTGGGACACTCGCTTGGATCTTTTCCGGGCCACTCGGATCGGCACTGGGTGGCGGGACACTCGCTTGCATCTCTTGTGGCTTCATCTCTTCATCCTTCATGGGTCAAGATTACCATAGATGGCTCAGTAAATATATACATATATATTTATATCCTGGATAACACAACTCCCCTAGTCCCCTATCAAGATCCCTGAGGTGCGGCCTTTAAAACTTTAAATACAAGTATACCTAAATTAGCTACTTTCTTGTAATTTGTGTTCGCACACTGCCTGCTCCACTTGCAAGCTCAAAGCACTTAGATCCTTTGTAATCTGCGTCGAAAGCTCCATGAGGTCGTCATCCACCTCCATCTGCGTTTGGTCGCAGAGCTGGTTGTGGATCGCACGGGCCTCGCGATCGTGTCTTGGTCACTACGGATCCGATTGTATGTGGGGTTCAATCGAAGCTACACTTTAAATGTCAAGTGGTTTTTCGTTCGTACATAAACAAGTAGGCTCCTCTCTAGGTTGATGGGGTCCTGGAACCTTATTATAAGGATTAGAGTTTGTGGGCAAAGTAGACTCTGTCTCTAAAAATATATTATAACACATATAATATATATTCATACGGAGAATTATAAATTATAATACCTATATATTACTAGTCATTTGGGGTCATAATGATCCTAGTGTCATTATCGGGTACTAGTTTCGGGGTCTTTGTTCGGAAACTTACATAACAAGCTTATTGGGATTTCGAGTACGGACAGGGTAGAGGGAGTGTTTTAATCTGTAAAAGACCCACATAGCTTTCGAGACCCGGCTTTTGCATATAATGCTTGACAAACAAATCCCATTAATTGTTAAACACCCTATATAGCTTGTAATCTATAACCCATAAGCCAGACACCAACCCTCCGGATCCGGTCTAAACATGAGATGATGCGGATCATTCAGAAAAACCTCGGTTTGGATTCCGAAACCTGTGAATGTTGCAGCTAGAGAGCCTTTCGAACATCACCCGGGGTCTGGAATTCAGTGGTTTCTGAATCCAGGGAGTTGGCACTTGACGACCGCGCCACATCTCCAAGGTCATCGTCGGATCCTTTGTATTGCGGGCAATTTTGCAAACGGTGGGTTTGCGATGATATGATTGCATGATCAAATGATGCCCTGATGCTCATATGTGCTACTAAAAGACCTTGGAAGGAGAGCTTGGTCGGTGTCGGGGCGACCTTTTTCATGGCCTTTGGGTCCGGGGTCTTAGTAGATGGAGTGGACGCAATGGTTGAGGGCGTCCGGGAAGCACGACTGCGCTTGCTGTCATCTTCCTCAATCGTCTTCGGCCCTGCATTGCAGGCGGACATTGCCTTAACAAGGTCCTTCCGGCGTTTCGCTTGCTCCATCGCCTGCTTCGCCACCTCCAACATTGCAAAAACAGCAAGAAACTAGGCCAAGACTGTGGCATGATGGTTTGATGTCTGCCTTCTGCAAAGCAAGATCGTTCGAAGACATGGCAGCGAGGGTGCTCAGGCCAAGGTCAAAGGATCACTCGGAAAAGCTGCACCACAGGGAAAAATCACGATTGCCAAAGCCACGCAAAACCACGCGGAAGTCACGCGGCCATTCTGGTGGATCCTATTAACTTTATAAGGGAGAGCTAAAAATCACGATGGCCAAAACCACGCAGAATCACGCTGCAATCACGGTCGGCTTGGGGCCTTTGGGTGCCCTTTACCGACCTGTTGCACAATCGATTTGGGGCACAGCATATCGTTCCAAGCAATGCCGGATGCTCGCACACCGCTTTTCTTAGGCCCACCTTGCATATAATGCGGCTTCAAGCAACTCGCCCCAGCCCTGGATGAAACAACTTGGGGTCAAACCGGCCAAAAGCCTGCTCCTGTTTTAGGAAGCTTTCCATCTCAGCAAGCTTCGCATACTGCCACAGAACCTAGGAATGTCATAGACAGCCGAAGGACATGCCAAATCCTCCAAATGTATAGCCGAGGCACATCCTCCTGGTAATTCTGCTGAGCAGCCTCCGGGACGACGTCCAGATGCGGGCGAGCCTTTTGGGTCGCAGCTATTTCAACTGCTGAAATCTAGGATTTGTAGTCCCAGGACTCATAGTCGTGGATAGTGGTCGTAGTAGTAGTAGTAGAAGTAGTAGTAGTAGTAGTAGTAGTAGTAGTAGTAGTAGTAGTAGCGTAGTAGTAGTAGTAGTAGTAGTAGTAGTAGTAGTATAGTAGTAGTATAGTAGCAGTAGCAGTAGCCGTAGTAGTTCATACATAGTATATATATATATATATATAGATCAGAATATATAGCATTATACTATATGCGATATAGCATTTTTCGTATGTATGCTAGTAATATATATATATATATATATATATATCTAGATATGGTAGTATTATAATATATATAGTAGTATATAGTGGTAAAGTAGTAACGTAGTGTAGTAATACTAGTCGCAGTCGTAGTCGCTGTAGCAGTATAGTAGCTAGTACCTAGTGGTATATATACAGTCCCAATCCTCAATACCCTCAGCCACATTATGATCAAGGTGGAGGTGCATAGTGATATATAACTATAGTTCAAGCTGGCTAATATAGTACATGAGGATTTCGGTTTGACAAGGCTGCTGTATTGTCGGGTTAAGCACATCCCATAGTGAAGCAAGCAATCTGCCTGGCTTCTGATGAGTTGAGGTTTTGGGGGTCAGTCAGCACAGAACTGGTCAGGATCTATATAGGCTACGGTTACCCGTTTAAACCCGCCATGCTATATAACTTAAAACCCCCCGCTAAACCACGTCGCCGACCTCGGCATCTGCACCACTGCGCTCTGGAGCCTTGGACAATCAGTGGCTTTGAGCCTCTCCAGGTTTTTATATTACAATAAATATGTGTGTGTAGATGTATTATAGTACAGGTTTAATGCCCACCTATATGAGAATCTCCTCAGCTAAGGGGTGCTCCTTCAGGGCCTGTACATGGAACTTGGTTTTACAAGGACTGTTTTGAGGAGTGTGAACACCTGGTGTATGTGGCTTCAGCTTCAGGGGTATTAAGAATTTTCGGCAAGGTTCCACGACTGCTCAGAAAGTTTCAAGGATGTACTGGCTTTCGGATGCTTGGCATTTCTTGAATAATCGTTATTTGCTTCGGACCTTCTGCTGGGGCTGCACTATCTGATCTGCAACTATGAGGACTTCAACACTAGCCAAGTGCTTGCAGGAAGTTGAATACACTTATGTTTCTGCTTATTATAAATGGACCTATACCTGCTACTGATGGTCTTGTGGTGAGGAACTACATCCGACTCTATCCGGTATGTTACTTCATTCCGATATATGGCCCAGTAACCCCTCCAAATCGCTACAATGCCCCTGATATCTACTTATGTACTGTATATGACCAGAACGTATAGCACCCTCAGTCCAATATGGAGCCGATCCGTTCTATTGGCGAGACACCGGTGAGTCCCGCACCAACACCTGTTGTCCAGCGATAAGCTTGGCAAACTCCCGAGGGTACTGGCCCGACAGCTTCAGCTTGCTCTTCTTGCCAGTCCTCGAGCATCTGATCTACAGATACCCCATGCATATACAAATATTGATCACTGGCGAAGTAGAAGCATAGCTTGCACTTCGCACGTAGTTGTAGCAGCAGCATTAGGTACGTATACTGAGTTAGTTTACATAGTACATAGCCGAAGAGTAGTATAATAGAAGTAGTGGTAGCTAGACTAGTCGTCGTAGTCGTAGTTACGTGGTAGCAGTAGTAGTAGTAGTAGTAGCAGTAGTAGTTATAACAGTAGTAGTAGTAGTAGTAGTAGTAGCAGCAGTAGTAGTAGTAGTAGCAGCAGTGGTAGTAGTAGTAGTAGTAGTAGTAGTAGTAGTAGTAGTAGTAGTAGTAGTAGTAGTAGTATGTAGTGGTGGTAGTACCGTATTAGTAGCAGTAGTAGTAGTAGTAGTAGTGGCCGTGGCAGTGGTGTTGTAGTCGTACTAGCTACTACCACAACCACTACTACTACTACTACTACTACTACTACTACTACTACTACTACTACTACTACTACTACTACTACTACTACTACTACTAGTACTACCGCTACCACTACTACTACTACTACTACTACTACTACTACTACTACTACTACTACTACTACTACTACTACTACTACTACTACTACTACTACTACTACTACTACTACTACTACTACTACTACTATATAGTAATAATAGTACTCCTGCTGCTACCACTTGTACTGCTACTATTGCTACTCTGCTACTACTGCTACCATTGCTACTGCGAGTAGTAGTAGTAGTCGTAGTAGTAGTAGTAGTATTAGTACTGCTACTACTACTACTACTACTACTACTACTACTACTACCACTGCTACCACTGCTACCACTGCTGCTACTGCTGCTACTACTGCTAGTGCTAATATTAGTGTGATTCCTACTACTATAACTACTACTACTACTACTACTACTACTACTACTACTACTACTACTACTACTACTACTACTACTACTGCTACTACTACTACTACTACTACTACTGCTACGACTGCTACGACGACGACGTACTACAACCTCAACTACCACTACACGTCACGTCCCTTCCCACCCAGACTCCAGAAAAATATAAAGCCCTCGCCACAATCATTGCATACAACAAATAATAAGTTAAGCCCTGCAACCAAGGTTCACAGCGACCTTGTTGCCTTTCTTGCGATGCACTGCCAGCCCCGAGTTTCTTCGAGTCAACTGGTGCAGCATTTGCTTCGACATTTTCGAACAGTCAATCGCTGAGAGATAATTCCTTGGGTCGAGGATACAAGAACACGTGTAATACATATCAGGATCTAATTTGACGAGATTCGCGGTCCCGAACAACAGGGTGCGCTTCGGTGCAAAGTGTCCGTACTTTGCCATCCAACTTAGATGTGCAACACATGACAGTCACTATATTATTATACTGACATGAGTCATGAGGCTCAAACGTTGCAACAGATCTGACCGTATAAGGCAGGGACAATCTCTTCACCGTTGCTACATAATTTGTGATGTTCATCACGTGCATCATGGGGGTGAACTCAATGATCTTCGAGCTTGAGGGCTGTTCAACCTGCATCTGGTATGGTTTGTGTTTATTCAGAAGCAGAGGGCTTCGACCACACCTCTAAAGTACATTGCTGCCTAGTTACCAAGTAGGTGCAGTCCAGGGCCAAAGCGACAAGTATCAATATGCAGGTTCTGGAAGCTATTGTGTTTGCATTCAAGACTGACTGCTGAGATATATCGCCGTCCGGATGGAGATGCCGCTGCGTTCTGCTGCGACTCAGCCACACCCACCTTAGTTCACAAGTGTTTGGGTTCAGGGTTTCTAGGCTTCCTTTACATAACGGTTGAGGGTATCTATGGTATTATAGAGTGGGGGAACTGGTTACCGGAGCAGTACCAAAGTGCGCATAGCATAATTATCAGCCCACACAGACAGAGCGAGAGAGAGAGAGAGAGAGAGAGAGAGATAGAGAGAGAGAGAGAGAGAGAGAAAGAGAGAGAGAAAGAGAGAGAGAAATAGAGAGAGGGAGATAGAAGAGAGAGAAAGACAGAGCGAGAGACAGAGAGAGAGAGAGAGAGAGAGAGCGAGATTGAAACAGAGATAAAGAGAGAAAGGAATATAATCAGTTATTGGCGGCCAAGCACAGGAGTTCAATGCCCGGGAAGACGACAACGACATGCTAACAAACCCTTCTTAATTCCACAGTCACCATCAGGATGTCTGACGTGCTAAGCTACTTGAGACACACAGATCACCGTTTTATTTATTTCGATCGTAAGCACAGAATGACTTACTTTACTAGCTGCCAAAGGGCGATCCACATGGGATACCACACCACAGCAGGCCACGTCGTTTGAGACGCAAGACATTCTTCAAGGCATGTAAAAACCCTGTGTTGGTTAGCATGTCGTGCTCGTTGTTCAAGAGGATATCGAAGGAAAACCTTGGGACGTCTTGTACCAGTCTAGCTATCTCAGATTAACGTGTGCACTAGCAGAACAAACGTCGTGACTGAGGCTGGGTCGCTTGAAGGCCGGCGGTTTCTTAGAGAAGGGCAAGCTTCAAGTTATGATTATAGCATCCCAAAAACACACCTGCGAGTACCCCCGATTGCAATCCAGGCAAGATTCTGCAGCATCGTGTCAACATGGTGCAGCCAGCGTAGAGCTCTACCACATCCAGCTCCTGCCAGCTTTAAGGTGGCCATGGGACTTGGAAAAAATTAATGAAGTTCTTATGCCCTGTTGTAGCTACGGTATCCCCATGCTATGTTTTAAGTCCGATGAACATTATTGTGGAGGGATCGGCTACTGAACCTGGCCCTTCCGAAAGAATGCAAGCTTTGGAGATAA